GTTTGTGGAGAGGAAGGGGAGGAGAAGGAGAGAGGAGAGGAGAGGAGAGGAGGAGGAGGTGGAAAGCAGGAGGAGGAGAAGGAGGAAAATAATGACTGTGGGGTCCTTGGTGCTCTCTGAGCTGAAGTTGTTTCCTTGCAAACGTTTCATGACCCAACTAGGTAACGTCATCGGCTCTAGAAGGGGGTGGGGTTAGGGTTTGCAGAGAGGAAGAAGAGGAGGACAAGAACGGGTAGTGGGGACATTGGTGCTCTCTGACCTGGGCTGTTCTCTTGCAGGCGTTTCCTGACCCAACTAGGTAACGTCATCAGTGCCAGAAGGGAGGAGGGTTTGCAGAGACCAGGGAGGGGGAGGACAATACCTGTATTTTGTGTGTGTTGGCTTGTCTCTGTGTGTGTGTGTGTGTCTCCTTTTACATATATATGTATGTATATTTCTTTTTGCTTTCCAGATTAAGACATCAAGCTCACAAAGAACTTTACGCCTACAAACAGGTGAGCCCGGTTTAACTTTCCCTTATCCAGGCAAATGGAGAGTAAATTCTCATTATTTGCATCAGTTATGCTCTAATGCAGGGGGGTCCCAAAACTTGGCCACTTTTAACACGTGTGGATTTCAACTCCCAGAATTCTCCAGCCAGCAGAGGATTCTGGGAGTTGAAGTCCCCACGTCTTAAAAGTGGCCAAGTTTGGGGGACCCCTGTTCTATTGCCTTAATAAGACCACACTTGGAATATCGCATCGAGTTCTGGATGCCACAATATTAAAAAAAAAAAATGTTGTTGAGACTCTAAAAAGAGAGCAGAGAAGAGCAACGAAGATGATTAGGGGAACTGGAGGCTAAAACCTATAAAGAAGGGTTGAGTGAGCTACGTATGTCTAGTTTGACGAAGAGAAGGACCAGGGGAGGCAGGATAGCAGACTTCCAATCTCTCAGGGGCTGCCCCAAAGAAGAGGGAGTCAAGCTATCATCCAAAGCCCCTGAAACAGGAGAAGCAGCAATGGCTGTTAACACGGCGAAAACCAATCTGGGAGTCCAACTCCCAGATTGTCTTGAGACGGTATAAAAACTCCTCCTTTGGGCACAAGGTTGGACTAGAAGACCTCCAAGGTCCCTTTCAGCCCTAGGCTTCTAGGAATTCGTCTCTTTCCAGCAAGGACTGGGCCATTTTAAAGTGAGCCATTGGATGACTCTGCATTTGTCCTATAAGCAGAACCACCAAGGAGTCCTCAGTGAGGAAGCTTACAAACATCTTACAAACTTCCTTCCATTAGTCACCTCTGGATTTCAACTTCCCAGAATTCCCGAGCCCAACATGATGACCGTTGCTGAGAATTCTGGGAGTTGATGTATAAGGTAGACTTCCTGGTTGAGGAAAGTTCGTTCATTCATTCATTCATTCTAAAGACTTCAGAAAATGCTTTTGCTTGTATTTTGGTTTTTTGCTTGCTTTGCATTGATAGCATTCTTCTACCAACGTATTATTCTTTATTTTCAGGTGATCCTAAAGGAAAAAGTCAAAGAACTCAATTTGCACGAGGTAAGCTGGTCTCTCAGTTGCTTAAACTGCCATTGATTAAGTTCTCAGCATCTCAGGCTAAACCATACAATGAGCGATTGAGGGAAATAGATATGTCTAACAAGAAGGCCTAGGGGTGAACACGATAGTATGTCTTTCAATCTCTCAGGGGCTGCCCCAAAAGAAGAGGGAGTCAAGCTATCCTCTAAAGCTCCTGAAGGCAGGACAAGAAGCAACGGATGGAAACTAATCAAGGAGAGAAGCAACCTGGGACTAAGGAGGAATTTATCTCCGCAATTAACTAGTGGAACAGTTTGCCTCCATAAATTCCGGGTGCTCCATCACTGGAGGTTTTTAAGAAGAAATTGGACAGCCATTTATCTGAAATGGTATAAGGTTTCCAGCCTGAGCCTGAGGTTGGTCTAGAAGACCTCCAAGGTCCCTTCCAACCCTGTTATTCTATGTTCTATTTTGTTATAAGTCAAGCTCCACCTCCATTGTCACGTCTAGATCTTCATTGTAATTTAGCCTGGGTAGCAGACTGCTTTTGGAGTTCATGTCTGTCTGTCTATCATCTATATCTACTATATCTATCTATCTATCTATCTATCTATCTATCTATCTATCTATCTATCTATCTATCTATCTATCTATCTATCTATCTATCTTTCTACCTATCTGCCTACCTACCTACCTATCTATCTATCTTTCTACCTATCTGCCTACCTACCTACCTACCTACCTATCTATCCGTCTGTCCATCTATCCATCTATCTATCTATCTTTCTACCTACTATTTATCTATCATCTATATCATCTATATGTACTTATCCATCCATTTAACTATTATTTATCATCTATCATCTATTTATCTACTATCTATCATCCATCTATCTATCTACTTATCTATCTTCTATCTATTATCATCTATCTATATCTATATCTACTTTTTATCATCCATCTATCATCTATCATCTATCTTTGCTATTTATCCATTTATCTACTATTTATCTATTATCATCCACCTACTATTTATCTCTTCTATCTATCAATCTACAATTTATCCATTTATCTATCTACTACCTATCTACTATTTATCTATCTTCTATCTATCATCTATCTGCCATCCATCTATATCATCTATATCTATTTTTATCATCCATCTATCATCCATTTATCTATCTATCCATCTATCTATCTATCTATCTATCTATCTATCTATCTATCTATCTATCTATCTATCATCCATCTATCATCTATCATCTACTCTTTCTCTCACCTCTTCGTCTCTCTAATCTACCTGTCTGCTGATCCTGTCTGTCTACCTGTCTTATCAAATGTAGAAACCAACCATCTCATTCCCCATAGCAAAACAAAGCAGAATTACTCCCCCAGAACCAGCCGGACGCATCCAGCGAACTCCCTCCTAATGGGTCTCCATGGAAGGAGAGACTTTAATCCTAGCGCATGGGGTGATGTCGCCACCCAGCTGACCTTGGCTCACCTGGGAAAGGGCAGGCAGGGTTTGATCTGGGGCGTTTTCAGGCAGGAAACCCATCAGGGAAATGCAGAGTTGGAACTAAGATTGGGAAGGTGGAAAAAAGAAAAAACATTGTCCCAAGATAACAATGACTAGACCAGGTTCTGGCCAAAACAACCTCCAGGAGTGTTTTATGTTGTTGAGTTCAACTACAGGCTGGTTTTCCATTTTTACTCCCAAATCCGTAGCAATACCCAGAAACCCTTTCAAAAGTAGGAATAAGAATCAGAGAAAATTCCCAGCAAGTTTAAAAACCAAAACCAAAAACAATGACTCATTCTTCCTCAGAAGTTGGGAGAAACCCTGTTGTGTTTTCCCTACTGACTAAAAGGTAATTTTAATGGGTTTTGTCCAGCTTTTCGATCAAAGTCATGTTATGCACGGTAGGTGTTTTCATTGTGCAGGAAAAGAAAAAAGAGATTTTGCCTTTTTATAGACGCAGGGAGCATTTCCCTCCGAGACAACCGTTGGAATTATTTATTGATTTTCCAGAAAATTCCTTTTGGCTGTTTTATTAACATCCCCCAATCCCTCCTTGTCCCATTTCTGTGTTTTTGACATTCCCTTGCAGACTCTGTAAAATCAGAAAAAAAGACAAGATTGGTTTAAAAAAACCAAACAGGGAGGGAGGGGAAGGGAGGGAGGGAGGGAGGGAGGGAGGGAGGAAGGAAGGAAGGAAGGAAGGAGAGGAAGGAGAGAGAGGAGAATAGGAAGGAAGATATGGAATATATTATAAGAAGGAAGGAGGGAAGGAGAGGGAGGAAGGGGAAGGAAGGAAGGAAGGAAGGAAGGAAGGAAGGAAGGAAGGAAGAAAGAAAGGAAGAAAGGAAGAGGAAGGGGAAGAAGTGTCAGAAGAAGCGAAGGTCAGAGAAAAGAGCAAGGGGAAGGAATTAAGAGGAAGGGAGGAACGAGAAAGGGAAGAGAAGCTCAGAGAAAAGAAGACCAAGGGGAAGGAAGGAAGGAAGGAAGGAAGGAAGGAAGGAAGGAAGGATGGATATATATATATATATATGGAGCCTGGGCCATCTGTCAGCCCTCAGATGGAGAGTCAACAGCCCCCAGGTCTGGAGGTGGCTGATGAGGAAGAGGAGGAACTGCTGGGCCCAGTGCCTGACGCAAGGATGCACAGAAGGCAGAGGAGAGGAGAGCCGTGGAAATCTATGGGCCGGTCCTTGGGGTGGAAGAGCCACTGCTGCTAGTGAGGCCCCACCCGAGCTCTGGGGATCAAAGGCAGTGGGGGGCGGAGATGAACAGGGGTGGCAGGCAACTATTCATCTCCCTGCCGGACAGACTTGTGAGCCTGAGGTGGGAGACGAACCTTTTGCCAGGGCAATAAAGGAATCTTTTGAGTTCACTTCAGAGGGTTTGTCGTGTTTGGGGAGCTGGGTGAGAACACCCACATCTATTTCTGCACATGCAGGATATTCTGGATCTAACTGCCTAGCTGATAAAACGATGCCTTTTTTAAAACAAAAAACTTTTCTTCTGCTTCTTTTTCAGATCTGTGCGGTTTGTTTAGAAGAATTCAGACCCAAAGATGAACTGGGAATTTGTCCGTGCAAACACGCGTTCCACAGAAAGTAAGTCCCGATCGGCTAGGACACGGCGCTCCCCGTTTGGAAACATTTCAGGCTCGTGGACTTAAAACTCCCAGAATTCCCCGGCCAGCATGTGACCGCGGGGAAGGTATTGGCTGCATCCCCCGCCATCACAGGAGCAAAATTCGGGCACTTGGTAACCGGCATGTGTTTTATGACAAGTTTGCTGGATTTGTTTAACTACCATATGATTCACTTAACAACAGCAGTGATTCGCTTAACGGCTGTGGGGGAAAAAGTCACCAGGTGGGGCCAAACTCATTTAACAACTTACCTTGCTTAGCAACAGAATTTTTTGGTGTCGTTTAATGACCTCGTAATCCCTTACGGGGTGGAGTTGAGGCAGCTGAATGGAGCTGAGTGTTTACTGGCTGGATGCCCTTCCCGTTGCTGGTGCGGAGTTGGCCGCAGATCTATTCTCATTGTGCCCAGAGAGAGAAAAAATATCTGCCTCCGTCTAGGCTCGAACTCACAGCCTCCTGATGGTGAGGGGAGAGCTCTAGGCCACCGTACCAGTCCTCCTTAGCAACAAAAAATGCTAGGCTCAATTGGGGTCGTAAGCTGAGGACTATCTCTGAAGCTTATTTTTCTTTCTCTCTCTCTCCTGACAGATGCCTTATTAAGTGGTTGGAGGTCCGAAAAGTTTGTCCTCTCTGCAACATGGCCGTCCTGCAGTTGGCCCAGCTCCACAGCAAGCCGGATCACCCCGGACCGCCCCAGGAACCCCTGCCTGGCACAGCCAACATTGTATAGCTACCCGACGGCTGCCCCTTCGTCCGCCCTCACAGACTCCAATTCCCGCAGAGACTCCTCGCCAATGGCTGGGCCCGCTGCTCACGGCCTCCAAGCGTTTTCTCGGGCACCCTTTATCTCATGAAAAAAAACAAAAAAAAAAACAACGCCCGGGACTCACCGAAGGGGGAACCGATTTCCCTCCAACTAGGGTGGAAGGGAAATAAACCCGACCGGATGGGAGCTGCAAGGACGCAGGAACGCTGGCGAGTCTCCGGTTTTGTTTTGTCTCTTCGATTTTATTTTATTATTTTTTTCTTTTTCTACGTGCACTTTACCAAGAGTCTTGGATTCAAATTCAGGCGGCCAGCAAGAAAGAGAAAAAGAGAGAGAGAGGAAGAGAGAGAGAAAGGAAGACGCCGTGGGGAGCAAGCGAGAGTCCATCTCCAGTGAGAGAGAGAAAAGCCGCAACGTGAGAAAATTTGCGTTTGGATTCCAGCATCTTTTCGCAAACGACTTCAAGGGGTCCCGGAGCCGAAATCCAGCAAGAGAATCCTTGTTGGAGGAAGAGCCAGGAGGACGATAAGATTTCGAACAACTTCAGTGCGATTTCCTGCGACGTCTGGATCGGGAAAGGAAATTCCCTCCAGAGGAAACACCGCTCCGTTCAAAAAACGAGGACGGGGGTTCTCCTGGAATTGTGACTTTGGGAGAAGGGGGGGCGGGCGTGGCCAATCTACCCGAAGCCTCGGGGAATACCCTGGTGAAAAGGGAAAGCGGGAAGAAGGTTCTCGCGACGTCGGCTACTTTAGGAGACACCAAGGAGGCGCCGATGAGGTCCCTTTTCCAGCCCGGATAAATTCCTTGGGACTTTTGTAGGGACGATGGGACAGGCCGCGCGACCTCCGCTTCCCATTCCCCTAATGTGAATCCTTTCCCGGATGGTTTGCCGGCACAGAAAAGACGCCTGCGGAATTTGCGTGGATTTGGTTTTCTTTTTCTTTTTCCCCCCCAATGTAAAAGTGAGGTGCATTTTCGGGCCCCGGATGGAGTGTTTAAAAAACGGGTTTTGCGAGAGTTACGAGCAGATTTGGGTGGCGCAGTTCCTCCGAGTAGAGAGCAACGGTTGTAAATATATATATATATATATTTACAACCCAGGCTTAGGTCGCGCGTGCTGGTTGACCAAGACGGAAAATAAATAAAATGAGGGAAAGGCGAGGAATTCTGAAAACACCCCCCACCCCCCTGCCCGAAATCTCGTGATATTGCCAAGAGCCCCCCCCCCCCCCCCCCTCTTGTGTGAAATCAGCCAGAACTTGTCAAATGTTTTATTTCAATTATTATGGGGAAGCAGCTAGGATGGCTTCTACCCATTGCCCTTATCATCATCATCATCTTCTTTTAACGACTCCATAATCCCTTGCGGGGTGGAGTCTGGGAAACTGAATGGAGCTGAGTGTTTACTGGCCAGATGCCTTTCCTATCCCCAGGGCGGAGTTATATTCAGAAGAGATATTCTCATTGTGCCCAGAGAGAGAAATATCTGCCTCTACCCAGGATCAAACTCTCACAGCTTCCTGATGGTGAGGCAAGAGCTCCACCAGTGCACCACTCCCCGGTTGCACTTATATCCCACCCCCCAAACTGGTGGCTCTACCGGTGCGTGTGGGACTACAGCTCCCAAAATTCCCAGCCATTCCAAACTGAGAA